GCTTGTGGTTGAGTGGCTCCAAGTCCTACCCACCTCCAAAGAGCCATGTGGTCTCTTCAGGAGCTTTTGGAAGGTTGAAGACTGATAGTGTTCCTTGTTTTGTGGCTCCTTGCTGTGTTTCATGGAAATCCTTCTCCCTGTAACTTTCATGTCTATCTCCTACTTTTGCCCTCTTGTCCTATTTATTTATTTATTTATTTTTGGAGACGGGAGCAGAGTGTGAGGGGCTGGGGGTATAAATCCATGATATCTGGAAAATGAGCTTTAATTCATACAAAAAACATTATTGTTGCCTTAATGCAATTTAAGTGTATAAGGGCTGCCATAACAAAGTGTCACAGACAGGGCTTCTTATACAACAGAAATCCATTTTTGCACAATTCTGGAGGCTAGAAGTCCCAGCTCACGGAGCTGGTAGAGTTGACTGCTTCTGAGGGCTGTGTGAGAGAATCTCTTCCATACCTCTTGCCTATTTCTGGTGGTTTGCCAGCACTCTTTGGTGTTCCTTGACTTACATGAGCATCTCTGCCTTCATGTGTGCACATCTGTGTCCAAACTTTGACTTTTTATAGGGACGCCAGTCACTGGAGCAGATTACCCTCATGACCTCTTATCTGATTATATCTGCAGGGACTCCATTTCCAAAAAAGGTCACATTTTGAGATACTGACGATTAGGACCTTAACATGAACTTTTAGAGAAATAGTGGTGGATGCAATTCAGCCCATAACATATACCAAGTGCTTTACATGTATTTTGTTGTTTTTATTCTCACTTCCAGGTAGGTAATGTTATTCTCATTTTAGAAATGAGAATGCTGACGTAGTTCCAGACTGCACAGCATAAAGGGCAGAAACAGGATTTAGAACCTAGACACCCTGATTCTGGAACCTCAGATTCTGACTACTTCATTGTATTGTCTTATTTCTTTACCTCCCCTTCTCTTTATAGTTGCAGGAAGTTTCTTGCCAGAAACAGATGGACATTAGAATTGGAAAAATTTCTATAGCAGCTTAATGCTGCCACCTCGTGGTAAGAAAAATTGCACAGCCTCCAATTTGGTGGCAAAGTTGTGTTAACATGAGGTGAGCATAGGCCTTGTTCCCTAATACACCAACAGCACCTAGCAATTCCGCTTGGTCCTGCTGTAAACCAAGCACAGGGTACATAAGAACAGAGCAGAACAGAAAAGCACAATCTTTGAGTCCCTGAAGGGTTATATATTTTGCTGATGAAAATATATGACTCTCAAGGGCTTATTCCATGATACTTTTAACAGATTTATATTTTTAAAATCTTACACCTCGTCTTACTGTATTTTGAAAAAGCAGTTTCTCCTAGTGCCTTTATTCTGATGACTCAGTCTAGTCACTATTTCTTTCTGTTGTTCAACTTCAGGATTCAGAAATAACTTAAGATTATTTAGCAATTAGTAACCATTTAGTGTGCTTTGAAAGGAAGAAAGAAAAGGCTATGTGGAATAATTGGATTTGTTGCTTCTGCATTTCTGGGTGTTCAGTTTCCTAGGCTTTTATTTGGCACCTCTGTCTTGAGCTTGCTATTTAACATTGGTTATGTTTTACTATAAGTTTGGAAATAATGTGGACATAACATACTCAGAAATAAGCTAGTGGAATGGGCATTTGGCACAATGGTTAAGATGCCATTTGGGATGCCTGCATTCCATGTCAGAGTGCCTGGGTTCAAGTCCCAGCTCTGCTTTTGAGTCTTCCTGCTAATACACACTCTAGGAAGCAGGAGGTGATGGCTCAAGTACTTGGGTCCCTGCCACCCATGTGGGACATCCAGATTGAGTTTCAGTTTCCTGGCCACGGTCTGGCCCAACCCTGGCTGTTGCGGACGTTTGGGGAGTGAACCAGCAGATGGAAGATCTTTCCCTGTCTGTCTCTGGCTCTTTACCTTTCAAATGAATACAAAATAAAATCAGATAAGAAAAATAAGTGAGAAAAAAATCATATTGAAATCAAATAATTTTAGAGCTGGAAGATACCTTAAAACTTAGGATAGATCACACAGTGTATTCACATTTTCACAGGGGATAGATGGGAAATCTTGGGCGAGAGGAGTCTGTGAACTCACTTCGTGTGGAAGGCTCATTACTTCTCCCTGTAGCCTGCAAGTGCATGGCAAAGGGGGCTCAAGGGTCGCACCTGAGCCTCGGGTGAGGGTGCTGATTGATAGCTTTATCGATGACTCATTTTAATCTTGGATCAGAGATTCTTGGACACCCTCAGCCATAACATCCTGGCCAACTGATATGTTGAGCTTAGTTGCAATGTATAGTGCAAGTATTGTGTTATCAGTAATTATAATGCCAGTGCTTGCAAATGCGTTTCCTTAAAGAATTTCCAACTACAGGAAAAGTTGCAAGCACAGACTTTTTTTTCCCATCCAGAAGTATCTGAGAGTGACTTCCTAAATGGATATCCCATTACTTCTTAATACTCTAATGTTTATTTCCTGCAAGCAAGGATGTTCTCTTAGATAACCTCAATGCAGCCATCAAAATCAGGAACTCAACACTGCTGCATTACTGCATGTAATGCTCAGCCCCATTCAGGTTTTGGCAAATGTTCCAATAGTTTCCTTTATAGGTACAGAATCAAGCTGCACCTTTAATTGTCATTTCTCTGCACTCTCCTTTTCGCTAGAGGGGTTGTCCATCTTCTGTGACTTTGAGTATTTTGAGACTTAACATTTTGGGGCAGTTATTTTGCAGAAGGTCTGTCAATTTGTTTTTGTATGGTGCTTCCTCATGATTAGATTCAGGTTATGCACTTAGGCAGAAATGTCACGACGTGATGCTGTGTTCCTGCCACTGCACCCCACTGGTTGGTTATAATTTGTCTGCTCCATTGCTGATCAGCACATTAATCATCCGATTAAGGTGGTATTTGCCTGCAGTGTTATCTTTGTAATGAGTGAGCATTTTGTGCAGGGAGATACGTTGAAATTCTGTAAATAATCCCATCCCCATGGAAATTTCACTTCATTCTTTTATTTTTTTTAAGATTTTATTTTTTTATCTGAAGCAAAGTTGTAGAGAGGAGAAGACAGAGAGAAAGGTCTTCTATCTGATGGTTCACTCCCCAAATGGCTGCAAAGTCAGAGCTTTGCCTATCCGAAGCTGGGAGCTTCCTCCAGGTCTCCCACATGGGTGCAGGAACCCAAGGACTTGGGCCATCTTCTACTGCTTTCCCGGGCTATAACAGAGAGCTGGATCAGAAGAACAGCTGGGACATGAACCAGCACCCATACGGGATGCCGGCGCTGCAGGCAGAGGCTTAGCCTATTATGCCACAGCACCGGCCCTTCCTCTTTTTTTTTTTTTTTTTGACAGGCAGAGTGGACAGTGAGAGAGAGAGACAGAGAGAAAGGTCTTCCTTTGCCGTTGGTTCACCCTCCAATGGCCTCCGTGGCCGGCGCGCTGCGGCCGGCGCACCGCGCTGATCTGATGGCAGGAGCCAGGAGCCAGGTGCTTTTCCTGGTCTCCCATGGGGTGCAGGGCCCAAGCACCTGGGCCATCCTCCACTGCACTCCCTGGCCACAGCAGAGAGCTGGCCTGGAAGAGGGGCAACCAGGACAGAATCCGGCGCCCCAACCGGGACTAGAACCTGGTGTGCCGGCGCCGCTAGGTGGAGGATTAGCCTAGTGAGCCGCGGCGCCGGCCACCGGCCCTTCCTTAATTGCTTTATATCAGTATGGATTCTTGGTTTCCTTCATTATATCCTAGGAGTTGTAACCCATCACCATAATTATTTATTTTTATGCTCAAATCACTTCACATTGATCGATGTGGGCTACTCAAAGATAGTTTTTGTGTTTCATTGACGTATCCCCATCATGCTTGCATACTTTCTTGCTTTCTGGCATGAAAATATCTTCCAAGCTAATCTTGTATTTTCTCTGTTCCAGCCTTGGAATCAACTGTTTTCAAGGAGCCCTGGTTAATTTTAGTGGAGAGTAGCATTTAGCAGCCAAGGTCTGAGTACCAGCAACAGGATAAATGTATGCATACAGGTGCATGTGGTATGTGTATAGACACTCGTTGGAAACCAGGAGGTGACACTGATGTTTCTAATTTCAGTCTAACTCCACAGGGTCCATTCCAGTGTTCTCCTTTTCCATGTCTGTCACTGCCTTCCCTGACAGTGAGATGCCTGGCTCTCCCAGCTTTAGCATGCTCATTTATTTCACCCATCCCCCTGTATGCAGCCAGTCTCTCACTGCTGCTGCTGCCCCATCCTCTGGGCTGATGCCCTCCTCACTCACCCCGGCCACACCTGCACCGGCTCTCCCCTTCACAGACATCTCCTCCCCCTGCTCAGGCCTGACACCCCTCTCTGAGCTAACATGTTCCACCTTCCCCAACCCCTGCACGAAGCTGCCTTCCTTCCTCCGACTTTAGGACCCCAGTGTTAGGAGCAGAAGGGAAGGGAAGGAAGAGGGGAGAGAGAATAGGAAGAGCTGCGTGTAATTTTAAAAAGAAACCATATCAAGTTCTCTTCTACTCTCTCATGCTGTGATCAGTCTTTTCCCTACTGGGATGTTAGTTCTGAGAGATGGCACCTGTGTCTGTCTTACCTACCATTATATGCCTGACACTAGTGTAGTTCCTGACATAAAGTAGGTGTGCTTAAGACTTTTTAGGTAAGTGAGTGAATGAATAGCAATGAGCAAACAAAGAGACTTACAGCTATAAGTCAGCAAATATACAAAATCTACCATCCAGCTTATCCAGGCTTCAGCCTAAAATCTGCCTGTGGCCACATCTAGCATGGTGTGTAGTACCAGGTATTTTAGAAATGCCTGGTAATTAGACCCAAACATTTATCACATACTTACATGTCATCTGTCATGTGTGTCACAATGGGAAAAAGGCTTGGGAACTATGTTTTCAAATGATGAACAACCTTACTAAATTTCTAAAGGATACCACCTCAATGAATATGCTCAGTGTTCATTTTGGACACAGCACACACTATTTGGAGATTCGTTTAATATGTGAAGTGCAATTATTAGAGAGAGGAATGGAGTTGGTAAACTCAGGATAGTATAGCTAAGGAACAAAAAAGAAATTGAGTTATTAAAATATGGGTTAAGACCGGCTGTGTACAGACATGTACGAATAGGATCTGTGGGTTGTGGAGTACATAACACATTCTTGACAAAGGTAAGACACTGAAAATCGAAGAGTCCACTATGCTTATAATCTTACTCTCCTATGGATTAAGAGTGGATCCTCATTTTGTTTAGTAATGTAGCCAAAGTAAGTTGCTAACACAATGCATCAGTTTCTGTTGACTTGTCACTATGCATCCTTTCTAAGCAGTAGGAGTGCTTTTCAAACTCAGATTACTCAATTGCTTCCTCCACCCAGGGGAGTGTGTAAAACAGGTCCTGCAAACCTTTCAGCTGGAACATTTAGGCTGTTTTCCATCAATCTGAAAGCTGCATTGTTCACCCATTCCACAAATACTGATTACTATGCTGTCATAGGTTGCAGGAGGTACAGTGCCAAGGGGCAGATAGGATTCCTACCCGTGGAGGCCAGAGCTGTGGGATAGAGGGACAGAGTACAGAGCCAGGATGTCTGAAACAAAATGGGAACCAGTCCTTGCAACTCAGTGTTCACTATTTTTGCTGGAAACATTTTCATGCCACAGAACACACTCTCTGAGCCAGCAGAAATGATGTTTCTGTTACTCACCCAGTTGTCTGCCCCAGGAGGGCAGAGAATTGGGCACTGATTACATTCCATTGCATTCAGTACTGCACTGACCCAGCCTAGTTAACTCTGACTAGTTTGTGTTCCATATGTGAGGCCAAGTTGCTAAGTTATTGAAGAATGAGATGCATGAGCAAAAGTTAATAAGAATAAAAAATAATAAAATAATAAGATTATTTAGATGAGAGAGAGGTTGCTGGTGATTTAAGTAATGGCTTTCAGACCTTCTAAATGTACATAATTGGTGCAAGGCTAAGAAACTTTTCTCTGGGTCTGACACTAAAGGTATTTTAAATAGTCTGTTTCTTCAAACAAGACATAGGATTATTACCATTACTAGGAATATTGTTATTGCTGCTGTAAAACACAAACAGAGCAATGCACAGTATCAGGGCTGGGAGCACAAGTAAGCCTAGAATATTTCTAGTTTCTAAAGTATTTCCAAGTTGTATATTTCCAAGTTTGGATGTCAGGAATAAAGGTCCCTTGAGGCCACATGCAGAGGACGGGCTGTAGACAGAAACTGAGTAACATTCTGCTTTCTGCTTTTTTTTTTTTAAACTTTATTCTTTGAAAAAAAAAAAAAAGAAAAAAATATGAGAATCAGTGTTGTGCAGGCCAGCCTGGGGCTACCATACATGGGCTTTGAAAAGATGTGTAGTTTCATCTCTTTGGTATAAAGTGTGTGCTGCAGATCAGGGCAAGGAAAATGCATCTTTGAGACGCGATTTCCAAGCTCCAAAGTCACACACTTATCCCTGCCAGCTAAGGGACAGTGATGATCAGCTGCCACTCATCAAGACTCTCCTAGGTGCTGGGCTTTGGGCAGGTGCTTCCTCACAAGACTGAGCGAGGTGAGAGGCTGGGATAAAGGATTCAGCCCGAACTCGGGCTACTGGGGGTCACATGCTGATCTGAGCATTTTCATAGACCTTCTGAATATTTTCCTCATAGAAAATAGGAGCATTTTGTTTCTTATTTCTTTCTCATTCTTGAAAGTTCTTTTCTTTTTTTTCCATGCATCCTAATACCCGTATATGTCATTTTCCACCCATCCAGACTCCTTGCTCCTCCCCATTCTGTCCGGGGAGAACTCATAAATGTCATTAGTCACAAATCCACTCTCTACACTCGCCAGAGTCATGAACCCGCTTTCTGATGGGTTCACAGCCATGTTGTCATAGTCACAAGACACATCATCAGGAGTGGCTTCTCCGGAACACACCCGGAATGAAATATTCTTCAGGTCTGGCCGGGTCTCAGCTAAGTCGGCTTCACTTTGTTTTCTGATGACGTTGTAGACCTCTAGGTCTGGGCTGTTCTCCTGGTGAGGAGCGGGCCACATGGTGCGGTGTTCCTTGGTGTTAGGTTCTGGCTGCTCCCGTTTTCTAGGAGGAAAGAAAATCATGGCTGAATATCTGAGACCAGGCCACTGTGAGTATCCCTGTGCTTTCTGTGCAGGCAGGAGGAAGTGACCCTGGCAGGCATACATACAGGCATAACATACAGGCCAGGGCATTGGGGTAGGGGAACAAAACAGGGAAGTATTATGTTCTGACGCATTGTGTATCTCTCACTCACTGCTGCCAGACTGTAGGACAGGAGTTATTAACTTGGGGCCCCTGAAATTTTCAGAGGACCCGTGGATAGAGCTGAATGCTTGGGGTAGACTTTAGGTGCAGCAGTTAAGCAACCACTTGGGATGCGTGCATCCCATATCAGAGTGTCTGGGATTAATTCCCAACTCTGTTCTCCTTTCCAGCTTCCTGCTAATGCACATCCTGGGAAGCACCAGCGATGGCTCAAGTACTTCGGTCCCTGCAATCCACATGGGAGACCCTGGTTGAGTTCTAGGATCCTGGCTTTGGCCTGGCCCAACTGGGGCTATTTGCAGGCATGTGGGGAGTCATTCAGCAGATGGGAGATCTCTTTGTCTCTCTGCCTTTCAAACAAACAAGCAAACACAAAGGAACTAGATGCACAAACAATCACATCTTAAAAACTCATCTCTAGGCCGGCACCATGGCTCACTAGGCTAATCCTCTGCTTGCGGCGCTGGCACACTGGGTTCTAGTCCCGGTTGGGGCGCCAGATCCTGTCCTGGTTGCTCCTCTTCCAGTCCAGCTCTCTGCTGTGGCCTGGGAAGGCAGTGGAGGATGGCCCAAGTGCTTGGGCCCTACACCCGCATGGGAGACCAGGAGGAAGCACCTTGTTCTTGGCTTCAGATCGGAGCAGCATGCCAGCCGTAGTGGCCATTTGCAGGGTGAACCAACGGAAAAAGGAAGACCTTTCTCTCTCTGTCTCTCTCTCTGTCTAACTCTGCCTGTCAAAAATAAATAAATAAATAAATAAATAAAACCTCATCTCTAAGTGAAATTTATTGCAGCCTTCCATTATGAACAGAGGTAATAGACCAGAGTAAATGAATAATATCTTGATTACCAACAGAAATCATAGATGTTTTCATTTTGCTTCACAGCTATAGATGTCTTCAAATATTATATGAATATTGTATGCTTGACTCTATTTCTTTTTCTTTTTTTTTGAAGATTTTATTGATTTATTTGAGAGGTAGAGTTACAGACAGTGAGAGGGAGAAACAGAGAGAAAGATCTTCCGTCCATTAGTTCACTTCCCAGATGGCCGCAACAGCCAGAGCTGTGCCGATCCGAAGCCAGGAGTCAGGGCTTACTCCCGGTCTCCCATGTGGGTGCAGTGGCCCAAGGACTTGGGCCATCTTCTACTGCTTTCCCAGGCCACGGCAGAGAGCTGGATTAGAAAAGGAGCAGCTGGGACTAGAACCAGCGCCCATATGGGATGCTGGCGCCACAGGCAGAGGATTAACCTACTGCCCCATAGTGCTGGCCCCTCTATTTTAAAATTATAATTATACCTACCACTAAATGAAGAAGCATTAACAGAAAACATGTATTACTTTATTGCTTTCTCATTTTTGTAAATATTTTTCTCAACTATTACAATAGAATTATGTCCTTTGCAATCAAATGTATGCTATTTTATGCATTTAAAAATATTGGAGGGCTGGGACTTTGGAAGGCAGGTTAAGCCTCTGCCTGTTGTGCTGGCATCCCATAAAGGGGCTGGTTCAAGTCCCAGATACTCCACTTCTGATCCAGCTCCCTGCTAATGGCCTAGGAAAGCAGTGGAAGATGGCCCAGGTGCATGGGCCCCTACACCCATATGGGAGACCCGGAAGAAGATCCTGGCTCCTGGCTTCAGATCGGCCCAGTTCCAGCTGTTGCAGCCATTTGGGGAGTGAATCAGTGGATAGATACCTCTCTCTCTGTAAATCTGTCTCTCAAATAAATCAATAAATCTTTTATATATATATAGTTTTTGGAAGGAGTCTATAGGCTTCACCAGACTGCTACAGCAGACTGTGGCACAAAAGCAGGTTAAAAATACTTGGGATGGACAAATCTCCACTTTACAATCACAATTCCAAAATTGCAGTAAGGAGCTAGAGTAAGGAAGGGAAATCAAGAACCAACTGCAGAATAAGCAGCTGGAAAATGTATCTGAAATTTTTACAACTATACTGTGAGTAACCTGGTTTCACCCTTCTAGTAATTGTAATTTTAGAGTCAAAGGAAATAACTAATAAAAATGATCATAATAGCCAACATTTTTGAGTGCTTAGCTCATTTTTTCAGTGCTTACAACATTTTTGAGTGCCTGCACTGCATCTATTCACTGATTTAATCCCTATAATAATTCTATAAAGAGGTTTATTATTAAATGAAATAGATTATACATTGGGATCTTACTAATTCATCTCTACTGGTCATCAAAAAGAGGCAATTCTCAAATAGAACCTTAGTTTTCCTGCTGTAAAATGGGAATCCTAGCTTTCTTCCATGCATGCTATGATGATGAGTAACGAAAGGAAACAGAAAAGAGCTCTGAGAACCTAGAGGTTGTCTAGGCTGCACAGCACAGCTGTTTTGTAGCAACCTACAGCTGTGTATTCAGCTAAAAGAAAAGTCAATGAAAAGGATCTTGGCTCTCTCAATTTGAATTAAGTGGTTTAGTGTCAGATGTTTCTAGAATGATTTGGAATGGTCCTTTTTCGATATGACTCCCTGTTTACTCCTTCATTCACTGAACGTTTGCAGAGTGAGGGTCTACTCATGGGTACTGAAAGGATGAATAACATGGTTTCTCCCTTCAAGTTGTTTAAGGCCTTCCATACATCCACGGAATAAATACGAGATTACTATATAGTCATAGCTAAGCACAAACGCTTGGTCTTTCTGAATACCCTGTGCCCGTCAGAGAATTTACACTCACGTCTGCAATGGTGATTGTCCTAATGCTGCCTGTGCTTTTAATGCAGCGAACAGGGCAATGTCCCAATCTCAGCTTGCAGAAGACATAAAGGTTTAGGTAAGGAAGGTTTTACTTGCCTCCTTCTACAGATCCAAACCCAACATACAACTGTGGTGACCACAAGGAGAAGGAGGAGGGGAACGCTGGGGATTAGGACATAGGCAAGATTCAAGGCAGCTTCTGGAAATAAAAAAGCGCATTGTCAGAATGGATGATTTCTCTGTGTGTGTGTGATGTACACATGCTTCAAAACAGGCTTTAGAAGGCATAATCAACAGAGTACCCCAAAGAGCACATTCCTAGCGGGAAACAGACACACAGTAATGAGTTAGCAAGAGTCCACTGACCCAAAGATTCTCCACCATCCAGATATTGCTTTTTTTTTTTTTTATTCTATAAGACTGCAAACCTGGCAACCATCAAAAACCAGCTACAAACATCACTGTAATAACAATGAGCAGCAGAAATGCCAGCCACCTTCACCTAGAACTTTTTATGTTGCTCAAGGCATTTTCCCACATTGTATGTGCTGTATAGTAAAGAATTTTACTAGCCTTTGTCCCTGATTCCTGGGAGGCAGGCTCTAAGTCTTTGGAATTTACTTGGGGGAAGTAGGGGTGACTTATGAGTTTCTCAGTCCATATCAGTCTTTATTGTAAGATGTCTCAGGATGAGGGCTGGTCATATCTAAACATGTGATGATGTAATTATAGGAGAAGAGGAGCTTGGAGCCAGGTGACAGCAGCCTGCCTTTGGAGATTGAATTCTATCACATGGCCAATGAACAACTCAGTCCTCCATAGGAAATGAAACCCTAATGAAACCTCTGGACATTGAAGCTCAGTAGGGCTTCCTGGCTGATAAACACATTGGTGTGCCAGGAGGATGATGATGCATCTGGATTCCATTAGGACAGGACACACAAGCTCCCCACCTGGAGACCTAGCCCTATGTGTCTCTTCATCTGGCTGTTCCTGATTTGTATCGTGCATAATGTAGATACAACTATAATGTTTTCCTGGGATCTGTGAGTTGTTCTAGTGAATGATCAAAACCGAGGGGGGAGGGGGTAGTGGGCACCCTTGGATTTGTAGCCAGTTGATCAGAAGTGTGAGTTTCCTGACACCCCCACCCCAACTTGTGTCTGATGCCTGAAGTGGGGGCATTCTTGTTATGAACTGTGCCCGTAAGCTATGGACTTTGTGCTAACTCCACTGGCTCATGTCAGAATTCAACTGTGGTATTATAAAACTCTATTACACTTCACGGTCACAGTAATGCCCTCAGCTAGTAAGGAAAATATTTCTTCTATTATGCAAATGGTGAACTTAAAGCATAGAGAAGTTAAGTGGTTTTTAAAAGTTACCCAATGACCAGAATCCAGATTCTCTTTTGGAAGTCAGGGCAAGAGTGAGGTTAAGATCCATTAGCACCTGGTTTATCATTGCATTTTCTTTGACCTTTTGTGATCTTCACTTTTAAATGTTTCTGTCCATTTCCTCTGTTTCACAGAAGAATATTAATCATGGATGTTATGTATTATGGCTTGGGTCCTTCTGGTCCTGTTTCTCTTTACATCTGCTCTCTCAGCCCCACCTCTCTTCACCCCACCTTTTGACTCCCTGGTTCTGTCTTCATTTTCTGTCTCGTGTAATCTCAGCTGTCTTGGGATAACTCCCTTTGCATATTTCACTGGTGAAACCTAACTTTTCAGATGATTTTTGCAAAGTCGCAGTTGCCCTATATAGTTCCAGTTGCAAGTAGCCATGGGAGAGAACAAAGTAGGGAATGTAACCATGGGTTATTTGTGATCGAGGGAGTCTCATTATCTGTTTCTCCCAGGTGTGTGTGCTGTACATACCTTTACTTTCTTTAAATGTTTCTTTGGCATCTTCTTTCTGCGCTTCTTCTGGAAGTATGGGCGTAGCTGGCTCTGTTGCTGCACCTGGAGAGACACATGAACTTGAGAACTTGTAGAAGGGCATCATAATCCAGGTGTTCTCCAAGGTCCCATCATGTTCAAATTGGGATGCCACTAAGCAGTAGCAATTTGACCAGTGCCATTTATAAAAAAAAAAAAAAAAAAAGCAAGGGGTGGAATTTCCTGCCTTAGAGGTTTAGTTGCTTACCTGCTGAGGATCAGGGCCAAAGTCATTAATAAGCAGATGGCACTGATGTGCATAAAGCACTGAAGTGCCAAGAAGAACAGCCAATGGCTCACTTCTGGAGTCATCAATAATCAGTGTGGCTCATTTCTTGTCTCATTAGATTAAATCATTCCCTTCATGTTGTCATTAGTAACAAGTAACATCCCAAACTGAACTTTCAACAGTTGCTTTTCAGTTTTGAGAGAAAGAGACAATACTAGAGATTGAGACTAGTGAACTGGTTGCCATGGCTAGGTGTGGCATATGCTGGTCCAAACTGTCTGGGCTAACATTAGCGGCCTTTCTGTTGAATAATCTGGTCTAAAGGACATGTGGTTCTAACCTATTAAGAAAAGCTATGGAAAAGCCCAAATTAACCCATATTTCAAATGACAGGCTTACCTCCCAGCCTTGTAGAAGGAGGTGTTGGTTTCTCTATGGTAGAAGAAAACAAAAATGAAAATAATAACTATATAATTTTCATGCCATCTGAATGAAATGAACTACAGCATGGTGTCTTTTTATTTGCTTGTTCAGTCATTCAATAAACTTAATTTATTGTTACTAGATACCAGGAACTAGGTTAGTATGTCAAAAGAATGACTTTTGCACAAAGGCTAGCTTTCCCCCAACTTTACTTTCATGCTTTTTCTTTTTAAAAAAGTATTTTAAAACTTTTAAGCATGAGAATGTTCATATATGCACAAAAGTAGAAAGACTGGCATAATATGTGCCATCATACAGCTTCAACTCCTATCAAAGTAAAGCTAATCTAGTTTTAACAAAAATCTCTATTCCTTCCCCACTACACTGCCAGCCTGCATTCTTTTTTTAAAGCAACCACAGGCATTTTATTAGTTCATGTAGGGGATGTTTTAGCCAGAAACTAATCTCCAAGTAGTAGAAGTGGTTGAGGAGCTGAGTAGATTACTGGCCAGCCCTGAGACTATCTCAGCAAAGTCAAGGTGAAATGTTTTTGCTTTTGACTGAAAGTGCATCCACCTCTTGTATCGGCAGTGAGTCTGTTATGCTAACCAGATGCTCTGGGGTTCATAGGGACAGGCTTTTTAAGGGCAAGATTTTAGAAATCTAAGGCGAGGTTTATCCTATTCAAACTTTCCTTTAGAAAAGACAGAAACTTTTAATCATCTTATCATAAGTCTGTGTGTCTCAAATACAAAGCCATTCATTTATTAAAATCAAAAAGCACACAGCACTTACATGGAAACTATTTTAAGAGTTGTACATTAATGAAATCAATCCTGATAGCAGTCTCATGAGGTAGTCTTATTATTATGTTTTTTTTAAAATATGAGGAAATCACAATATAGGGTGATTCAGTAATTTGCACAAATCTCACAGGTAATAAGTAAATGAACTAGGATTTCAACCAAATAAATTCAAATGAAAATTAAAATAGAAAGGAGACATAACTGCATGAGGTAGCGGAGATACAATAGCAAATTAAATAATCTCTGCCCTCTAAGGAGTTTATATTCTACAGGATGGCCATAAAATCTGGAAGTACAGGAGAATATTAAATAACATTAATGTTGTGATATTCCATTGGAATACACAGTATATTCAGTGATAACTGCATAATCTATTCATATTGTCACCCCCTGTGGTTCAGTCCATGGTGCAAAACTGCAGTCAACATGGCCCATCAATGCAGCATTTCTTTGATCCCTTACACGTATCTGTGAGACGTCTGAGTTCTCTGAATATGCCTATGCCTTTTGCATACTACAGAAGTAATCAAGGGTTTAGACTGGCCAGCATGTGACTGACTCTGTGTGGTCATGTTCTCACATTTAGTTATAGAAACTCCCATTCACCAATCTCTTGATGGGATGTTATGCTATCTTGTGGAAACCACATGAGTGCCTGGCACCATGGCTCAATAGGCTAATCCTCTGCCTGCGGCGCCAGCACACAGGGTTCTAGTCCCAGTCAGGGCGCCGGATTCTGTCCCGGTTGCCCCTCTTCCAGGCCAGCTCTCTGCTGTGGCCCGGGAGTGCAGTGGAGGATGGTCCAAGTGCTTGGGCCCTGCACCCCATGGGAGACCAGGAAAAGCACCTGGCTCCTGGCTCCTGCCTTTGGATCAGCGCGGTGCGCTGGCTGCAGCGGCCATTGGAGGGTGAACCAACAGCAAAGGAAGACCTTTCTCTCTGTCTCTCTCTCTCTCTCACTGTCCACTCTGCCTGTCAAAAAAAAAAAAAAAAAAAAAAAAAAAGAAACCACATGAGTGATCATCTCGTAGCCCATTAAGTGGTTCAACATATATGTTTCCTGGCTTCATGTCAACCAGGTAGTGAAGTGGGCAAACTCGTCACCAGGCAGTTAAGGTACACTGTGTGGAGGTGATCTGATTCTCTGAGGAGGAATGCCTAATCTAATTTTGAAGGGTCCTGGAAGACTTTTCAGAGGAAGTTATTTTTTTAACTTCTTATTTTGAAATGATTTCAGATTTATGAAAATTTGCAAAAATGGTTCAAAGAATTCTCATTATCCTTTACCTTATCATTTCACCACATTGCATTTACTTACTTATTTTGCCTCTGTATCAATTTATCCTATGCCTTAAAAAATTTTTAACGTTGAATTGTCAACTTATTTGAAAGGCAGAGACAGACTGACAGACACACAGATTCCATTCACTGGTTCGCTCCCTAGATATCCACAACAGCTAGGAGCCCTGTATGCCAGGCCAAAGCCTGGAGCCCAGAACTCAGTCTGGGTTTCTCCTGTGGATGTCAGGGGCCTAACTACTTGAGCCATCACCTGCTGCCTCCTTGGGTGTGCATTAGCAGGAAGCTAGAATTGGAAGCAGAGTGAGGACTTGAACTCAGATACTCTGATGTGGGATGTGAGCATTCCAAGCAGTGTCTTAAAATGCTGTGCCAGATGCCTGCCCCATCTCTGTGTCTGTGTACGTACACACATGCACACACACACACAGAGACACATGTAACTGTCTGTATATATACACACATACACCATTTTTTCCTGGAGAATAACTTGAAGATATAGTATCCCTTTACTCCTAAAGACTTCATTCTGTGTTTAAATGTGGGGTGGGGTGGGGGAGCTGGTGTATGGCATAGCAAGTTAAGCTGATGCTTGTGACGCCAGAATCCCATACCAGAGTGCTGGTTTGAGTCTATGCTGCTTTGCTTCAAATACAGCTCCCTGCTAATGGCCTGGGAAGGCAGCAGAAGGTGGCTCAAGTACTTGGGAGGACCAAGGACATGGGAGAACTGGATGGATTTCCAGGCTCCTGACTCCGACCTGACCCAGGCCTAGCTTTTGCTGCCATTTGAGAAATCACCCAGAAAAAGGAAGATTGTCTTTCTCTGTCACTCGCTGTCTCTCTCTTGCTCTGCCTTTCAAATGAATGAATGAATGAATGAATGAATCTTGAAAAGGAAGAGACTATTCTCTTACATAACCACAGTACAATGGCAAAAACCAAGAAATCAACATTGAAGTAATATTATGTAATCCACAAACCTTACTCAAGTTCTGACAATTGTCCTAATAATGTCCTTCATAGAAAATCATCATCATCATTGTCACTGTCACCACCACCACTACCATCATCATCAACATGGTCCAGGAGCCAATCCAGGATCACCTGTTGCAGTTGGTTGTTAGGAGAGAAGGTGATGTTTAACCTGAACCTGAAGGATGAGAATAAGTTGACTGGGAAAGAGGTGAGGGTGTTCCAAGCACAGGAAATTAAGAGCTCTCGAGGAACTGCATTAAGTGCAATGGTATTGGAATATGTTGAGGAGGAAGAGTTAAAAGTGGTGAGAATTGAGGCCGGAGATGCAGGCAAGGTCTGGTCATGCTTAGCTTTTGTTGGCATGCTAAGGTGAACTTTTCCTGAGGATGGCTGGCCACATGGAGGCAAGATGTTAGCTTTTTCCCCCTCCATGTGCACACTTTCCTCTGTTGGATCCATTCTCTTTCCTCTGTGCCCTGGGAAGCCAATTTTTATGGCCTGTTTCATTGGAACTCACTGGTCCTTTGTTTCTGATTAGACCAAAGAGAAGTAAAGGCAGGAGATCAGAGGGTAGAAGGAGAGAGAGATTACAATATCTATTCCCCAGGCCCCCTTCCTACATCAGCAGGGTTTGAGAGGTGCATTCTGTGGTTACAGCTCTCGTTGGACGGGCTCTCCTCCAAGACCCTTAGCCTTCTCTGGGTTCTTCTGAAACCACCCCCCACTTTGTTCCTTTAGGTCAAGGGGTGCTAACAGCAATATCAAAATTACTGAACAATGTCATTTCTGCTTTAAAAGGCACCAAAGGTTAAAAAATAAAAGGATGTTAAGGCAAATTTCAAAACCTTACATTTAGAAATGTTAAATAAGTGGAGAAATTTGAATCATGGTGCTATAACAATGATTAAAAGTGATAGAAAGCCAGTTTGTGACAAGTGCTTTGCTTTTATTGCCCTAAGAAAAGTACCTGATAAGCAGTCTAGATTTTTGCGGTCTCCCTGCCTGTGGCATATGGTGGGGAGAGCCAGGTCATTGGAGAGAAGAATTCATCAGAGGAAAAACATCTTTTAACAACAAAAATTTCCTACAGTACATAGTCCAATTCAAACAGCATTAAACTGGCAGGGTTATTTAGCCCCAACTAGATATAACTAACAAGTCACTCTATTCCTCTCAGGAAAGAATGCAGAATTTGGGCCAAACAGTTGCCTTTTGGGGAGGTGAGAAACTTCAGAGACAGATCAAAAACCAGTTCAAGTTTAAATCTAAGTCAGTTCCAATGGAAGAATCTGGGAAACATCAGCAGAGGGAGACGATGGGCTTGCAGCCAATTCAAAAATCTTATAGATCTGGCAGCAAATACAACTGGAATTGGTAAGGCATACACAAGGGTGGTCTGGGGAGTTTAAACCTGATCATCAAAGTGCCTGCTGTCTTGCCCAATGCCAGAGAAATTGGTGTACTTTATCAGCTACTTCTGCGGGTCATTGTTGTGTCTCCTTCATGCCACAGTAAACAATCTCACATGATCGTTGGCCTTGTAGGAGCAATGGCTAGCTTATTCCAAGCTCCTACAGCCAACCTCACATGTGGAAAGAATAAGACTTTGGAGAGGGCTTTAAGCCTGGAGAGGACTTTTTATTTCCTGGAGTTTTCAGAAGTCTTGCTTTATCACACGTAAATCAGACTTTTTTTTTCTAGCCCTTCTCTTAGCATCTGATAATCTTCCCTTTGCTAGATAATCCTAGATGGGGAAATGTCATGACATCTTCCCCTTACAAGAATTCCCAAAGTTTAACACTGTTGGCACTTGCAAGAAGCTTTCTCAGAGATCACATAACAAATTCTTGGTACTAGCAACTGCTTGTGAAATGAGAGAGGAGGTTGAGAATGTAGCCACGTCACTTGGGAGAGGATTTATTACCATCAGAATATTTGCAAATGAAATTGTTCTTCATGTTGCACCGGTCGTCATTCCACTGGAACATGTAGGGACCCCCGATGCCAGCAGGTGCCGATGGCTGATGGTACATAACCACACAGACCTCGCTGCCGCAGGAAGGCTCGTCCACGTACCAGTTCCTGTAGGTGATGAATCAACAACAGAGGCAACCGGAGAAGGATGCTGTGTTAATATGTTTTCTGTTACTACAGCAAGGTATTGAAGGTGGGAACTTTAGAAAGAAAAGAGGTTTGGAGGCTGAAAGCCCAGGTGGCCCTTCTGTTTGGCCGTGGTAAAGGCCTTATGGCGCATGGCATCACTATGGCAGAAGCTCATGTGGAGAGATCACATGGTGAGACAGAAAGCCCGAATGACTTCAGGGCCAGGCCGCACTTTTTATAACAGCACAAAGTTCATGGGAAACTAATGGGGATCTGCAAGAAGTACATTAGTCCCTTTCAGGGACAGCACCTCCAGTGACCAGTGACCTAATCACATTCCAGTAGGCCCCACATCTTAAAGGTTCCATCACCTCACCATCACCACACTGGGGACCAAGATTCTAACACATGAATCTTTAAGGATACACTTAAATCATATGCAATCCATGTCCAAACTTTGGGGTAGTGGATATCCCAAGACTACAAAGCCTTTGTTTTCTCCTCAAATTCCACTGAGCCTTAAACATACAATTCTGCTTCAGGACACAATACAGAGAGGGAGGGAATAAACAGAACCATATGCTTTGTTATATGGCTATCACAGTCAATCATCTGACATGTGCCACAACCCCTTAGCAAGGATGGAATTCCACATGATGGCTGCAAAGTAATGAGAAGAACAAGCAGCTGGCAGGGCTAGTCTGGGAGATCTTATTTCTTTTTTACTTTTGGATAATTGAGTTTTGTTTCTTATTTAGATGTCAGATGCACCGAGAAGAGGCATGGCTTATCGCATCCAGAGCCTGGCCTGCTCCCATCTCCCCAGCTTTTCTACAGCCACAACTGCCTTCCTAGTCCTGGGATGTAGGTGGGAAGAGCAAGCATCTGAGCAAGACTTTCCAAAGTACAGAAGCCAGCAAAGCAGGTGAGGGATGGGTATAAGAGTAGGAGGGCCTTTTGGTCTTTTTCCATTTTTAAATTGTTTCCACTTGATAAAGCTGATGATGAAGCCCTCAGCCTCCACTGTCAGATGTGTGATCTTTATCTCCCTACCTCTGAAGGGATGCATTAGCAGCCTTAGCTCTACTACATGGTGGCTCTTAGAATTAAATGGTGCTGCTATCCAGTTAGATATGTAGGTGTCAAATTAAAGCCTTGGATCCCATGGAGAATTTTAATCTGCAAGCACCCATCCCATGTGTCGACACTGGGTTGGGCTTTGTAGTCTGTCTGGTTACCTGACTGAGTTGTTGCCCTCTGGGGCCAGATCTTACCCTGAAGCTCAGATCTTTGAGCTGCACACTGCTGCTCAGAGCCCCGCCTCCAGAAAGAGACAGTCAAGAGACAGGTCTCCTGGTGGCACCACAATATGGCTCTGCTTGAGTCTTATGTTACTATGCAACAAAGAAGATTCTTTGTTGCACCCAGTGAGGGTTTTCCTGTAAAACAGCTGAGCTTGCAGTACACACTCCTTGGACACTACCTGGACAGCTGGGAACCCAGGTGGGGGCTGGGTTCTGCACCACATTACTGCCTCCAGACCATTTTCCAACCCCATTGGGCCCACTACCCTGCTGTGCCTTGTTCCCCTCCCTAGCAGCCTTATAGCTTTATGCTAGTTCTTCTCGTAGCCAGGTGGAATATTATGCCTGGTGCATGATTCTGGACCGGAGCCAGTATTCCTCCACAGAACTTGCTGGGAGGGGTGAGCCAGGTTCCCAGGAATAAGGACCAGCAACACCATGACAAGTGCATGTGGTAATGACTTCCTATTCTCCCAGAGAGACCTGTGGGCATTTACTCAAGTAATAACACACTGAGGAAGTGGGGACTATCCAAATAGTATAAGGACTGTCAAACACAGGGTGCAAGTTGACATTGATGTTCAGGCTTGAAGTATCAAAGCCACCCATTAGAGTGGGAGCATACTGGGGCCAGGTGTTAAGTAGAGGTCTGGCTAAGGACCAGATCACAGTGAAACCGAGGCAGTGCTCATTCCCCAGTCCCCAAATATTTGAGCTGAATAAACACTCTTGGTGGTTGGGACATACCTAATCTCAGAAGAGTGGACCTAGAATCTATTTATTATAATATAGAAGAAGTATACCCAAGACTAAAGGGCACTGTATGAGCAAGACCAATGGGCACTGTATGAGCAGGCAGAGCAGACTTCTATCACTGTTGTACCAGAGCCTCTCCCTTAGCTCATAGCTATTTTTGTCTGAGAGAATCCCTTATAGATGGCCGAGAGAGGCAGCCTGAGCCTGGCTCATGGATAGGTCAGCTAAGTATGGGAACACAAACCAAAATGGACAGAAGCTGCATTGCAGCTGCATTGAGGTCCCACTCAGAAGTAGCCTTGAAAGATAGTGGTAAGGTCAGAGCTTTGGTTGTTACATCACTACAGCTAGTTAATCTGGTTAACTGCTCTGTATGGGAAGAGAAGTTATCAGAGATTAGAATATATAAACACTCAGGGGTAGGGCAAACAGCATGGCAACAGATGAGCAGCTTAAATAGAGAAAGACTAAAAGATGGGGACTGGGAGGTCTTGGATAAATGGGAACAGATGTATGGGAGTGGTCATAACGTAGGACAACCTTTTTATCATAGATTAAAGCCCACCACGAAGCATTTACTCTGGAAGAGACACTAACCATCAGGTGATGCTGGTGAGCCATTAGCAGCCACCACAGTCCTGGCAGCCAAGATGGAGGCTATGTACAGATGCAACAGATTGGCTCCCACTGATCTAACTACCACTGACCTAAGCAGGCTGATCTCACTACTGCTGAAGCCGATGTCCAGCCTCCCAGCAGCGGAGACCACTGCTGAGTCTCTTGGGCAGCACCATACTTGAGGAGACCAACCTGGCATCCACTGGGCCCCTGAAAGGGACAGTGATTCATTTCGACAGGAATAGCATACAATCTAAGTGTGGATTTGTCTTTCCGGGATCAGGGGCTTAGTCAGCAGCACTCCTAACGGCATACCCGCTATTTAATCTACCAGAACAGGAGCCCAAATAACATCTCATAAAACAGAGGGAACTACTTTATAGCAAAGGAGGGGTGAGAGTAGGCCCCTGGCCATGGGATGGACTAGTCACATCATGTACTGCATCATCCTGAAGCTGCCAGCAGACAGAGTGATAGAACAGCTTGTTGAAAACAGCGGAAGCATCATCTTAGAGGCATTGCTTTTCAGGGCCAGGGCATTAGCCTGCATGATGCGCTATGCACCTTAAGTCAATGATGTATACGGTCCCATGTCTCCAAGCGTAGAATACATGATTCTGGGGGCCAAGAAGAGGAAAAAGGAGTAGACCTGTTTGGCACCACTAGTAAAGAATTTGTGCTTACTATTCTTGCAACGCTGGGCTCTGGGAAATTCGAGGCTTTGGTTCGCAAAGGGAAATACCTCTACCAGAAGACACAGCAAGAGTTTTATGTAACTATGAGTTAGGGGTATATTTGGACATGTTGGGATCCTTGTGTACAGAGGCCAGCCTCCAAGAAGAGAAGTCACTGTCTTGGCAAGAGATGACCGGCACTAATCCTCAAGGGAGGGAGGTCTGCTGTTCTAAATTATGAGCAGGGAGAAGGTGCCCAGGTTACCTACTTGGGCACCTCTTGCTGTACTTACTTGTCCAACTTAATGGTCAATGGAAAAGTACATTAACTCTAGCCTGAGACGTACAGGTGACTAGGGCTTTAGACTCTTCAGAAATGAGGGTATGGGCCATGTCACAAGGCTGATGACACCAGCAGAGGGTTAGGGAACCTGGGCTGAATAGAGAGCAGGGAGGTCAGCTGCACAGATGGGAAGCAGTCATCGTACTAAGCTTCCTTTGTTTTCCCCAGGCATAGAGGCCCATGAGAATCCTGGAGAAGCGGCTCCCAGGATTTATTTGAAGAGGTGGATTTGGTCAGCACAATGGGTAGATTGTAATAGATACAACATGCTGCCTTAAACACAACAGGTAAAAAATGTTTTAATCTGAATTCTTTTGATTGAAGTGAGTTTAGACCTTTTTTTCCCATATGATTGTTAGATATTCTCTTACGTGAACTGTGCTCAGATCTTTTGTCTTTATATTTTGGGGTCTCAGTGTCTTATTGTATTACATACATACCTTATTACAAGAAGATATTGTTAACTCTGTGTTAGAATTGTTACAAGCATTTTCTCAGTCTTATGTCTGTCTTACGATTTTGATGTTTTAACTTTTGTCCATGTCACTGTATTTTTTACGGAAGGATGATGGCAGCGTCATGATGCCAGGCTGGGATGTGAGTTAATCTTGATTCTGTGGGTTTAGGAGGGTCGACAGACACTTTCTGAAGTCCCCACACTTGGCCAATCTATAGACTTAGATCTTGCTTGGGTTCCTTGCTCATTTTCCTAATTCCCTATGTCTGGAGTCCCATCTTAAGTCTCACCCTCAAGGACCCAATGAGGTTCTAGTCCAAAAGACCAGATGGCCAGAAACACTGAATTCAAGCACAGTGGGCTGTTGAAACAGTGCCACGGCCAGCGCCATGGCTCAATAGGCTAATCCTCCACCTGTGGCGTCGGCACCCTGGGTTCTAGTCCCGGTCGGGGCGCCGGATTCTGTCCCGGTTGCCCCTCTTCCAGGCCAGCTCTCTGCTGTGGCCCTGGAGTGCAGTGGAGGATGGCCCAAGTGCTTGGGCCCTGCACCCCATGGGAGACCAGGAGAAGCACCTGGCTCCTGGCTTTGGATCAGTGGGGTGTGCCGGCTGCAGCGGCCATTGGGGGGTGAACCATTGGAAAAAGGAAGACCTTTCTCTCTGTCTCTCTCTCTCTCACTGTCTACTCTGCCTGTCAAAAAAATTGGACCCGGAGCAGGGCTGAGTTCACTGCTCCACCACCGCTGTGGTTCGTGCCTGCTCTGCTGCTGTTGCCTTCTCAGGGCTCTGCCTGGCTGAGGCTTCTCCTCCTCACTGATCTAGCCTGGATCTGGCCTGCTGCTTTTTTTCAGCGCTGTCAGGGTCCCACACTTACCTAAATTTTGATGAGCTGCCATCAGTCCAAGAATAAAGGTCTTGGCAGGCTGTTCTGTTGTTTTGTTTCTCTTCCTGCCTCCTGAGTCCAATCCAGAAATCACCATCAGATGCCAAGAGGTTTTCAATGAACTTTTCTATCAGTCTCTGTTCATCTTCAGACTCGATGCTGACCAGCTGGCCGCTATCCCTCCTGCAGGCTTCTTTAGCTTCCTCAAAGTTCAGTCTTCGAGAAGCATCATGGAAGTAAATGACTTTATAACAAGGCCTCTGTGTCCCTCCCCGGCACACCAACTGTCCTAGAGAAAAAAAGAAACCAACTTGTTTCTGTGTATACAAAGTATACCAGGGCAGGGGTGCCTGTACATATCTGATTGAGGCTATACCTGGGCAGGAATTCTGATTACTCATCAGTAGACTGCTATCATGTCAGTTAGGGTTCCCAGAGCAAATTAGCACCTCTTCCAGCATGAAGAGGCAGTAATTTTTTTTTAACTTTTATTTAATGAATATAAATTTCCAAAGTATAGCTTATGGATTACAATGGCTCCCCCCCCCCCATAACTTCACTCCCACCCGCAACCCTCCCCTCTTCCGCTCTCTCTCCCCTTCCATTCACATCAAGATTCATTTTCAATTAGAAGAGGCAGTCATTTAAACTCTGAGGCCCATATCATGTAGGGACACCATGTTTTGTTGTTCCATTACAGATTCTTGAGAAAGCAGACATTTTTGACTGTCCCTTAAAAGAGAAGTAGATAAAGATTTATGGATGCACTTCAAAGCACACAAATAGCATGCCATCAGGGAGTCTCAGGGACAGTGTGGCTTAAAGTGAGTATCCGTTCAGTGGTTCCTTCGGGTAGGAGAGGCGTTCTGAAGTCTGGGGTGGGCTGCCCTATCCTGGAACCCCACGTCTACACAGGAGGACTGAGAATTCAGTCTATCTCTGGAGCAGGCAGAAGCAAAGTGCATCAGATGCACGGGGTTTCTGCTTGTGAAGTCTCTTGACCTAAAGACAACATCTCTGTTTGTGGAACACTTACTATGTGCCATGAACTAGGGTAAGGATTTTATATTTACATATGTACTTTATCTGGTTTAACCTTCATTACAATCCCAGGATGTAGCTGATTATGCTCCATTTTACAGATGAGAAAACTGAGGCTTAGAGAAATTAAGGAATTTGGCTGAAGATAAACCGCTATCAGCAGCATCACCTGAGCCAGAACCCATAATAAAGGCATGCTAGTATACACCTGAAGCCCCACTCAACCCCAGGCTTACATTGCACTGGGAGCCCACGTAATGTGTCTCATTTAACTGACACTCCAAGAGCCAAAGTCCATCCCAGACAAATGGTTGGGATTCCACTGCAGAGTGATTAAGAAGTCATCCAGAGCTGGCGCCGCGGCTCAATGGGCTAATCCTCCGCCTAGCGGCGCCAGCACACCGGGTTCTAGTGCCGGTCAGGGTACCGGATTCTGTCCCGGTTGCCCCTCTTCCAGGCCAGCTCTCTGCTGTGGCCCGGGAAGGCAATGGAGGATGGCCCAAGTGCTTGGGCCCTGCACCCCATGGGAGACCAGAAGAAGCACCTGGCTCCTGCCTTCGGATCAGTGTGGTGCACTGGCCACACTGCACCGGCCGAGGTGGCCATTGGAGGGTGAACCAACGGCAAAGGAAGACCTTGCTCTCTGTCTCTCTCTCTCTCTCTCTCCCTCTCTCACTGTCCACTCTGCCTGTCAAAAAAAAAAAAAAAAGTCGTCATCCAGTACATGCTGCCCCAGCTTGTGTCTGGGTGATTGAAGCCCTTTCTGTAACTGTAACATGAGTGTCATTACTCCTGGGCTTAATCAACATTTCCTGAGTGCCCACTCTGTGGCTGTTGCTGTGCTAGGTGCTGGGATTACAGAAACAAATGCCCATTTCTATCCCACAGGAACTCACAGCCTATGCTTCTGAGTCCAAATGTACAAAGCAAAAACCACCTTTCAACAGGGGAGTTGTCCCCTGCAAGGAGAGAACCAAAATGTGGGCTGTGGGTGTGGATTGATGCCACAGGGGAAGGGTAAAGGATTTTGATGTGGGAACCTCTTCCCACACCTTCTGGAATATTCCAACTTTCCTAACTTGGTTTGTACCTTTGTAGGGAGCCAGACAGCTTTCATTATTCCCAGTATTGTCCAGAATACTGGGCAATAGGCCAGATAGCTAAGTGCATTGGTGACACTACATGGGGAAGAGGACATACAGATGACCTAGAGAGCTCTTTATTTTCTATTTCTCTCATCACTTTTAGAACAATGTTCTCCAGGAGCAACAAGTGATAGGAGTTTTGCATCTTCTCCCTTTTCCTTTCATTCTTTGGCTGTTGCTGCCAAACAGAGAAACTCTAACTGGACTGGCCCAGCAGCAAATCAGGAGAGCTCAAAGAGGGGACATTCTCACCAGGGAGGTGTGCCCGAGAGGCTGTGGCTGTGGCCTCCTCCTGGGGAGGAGGCTGGGCCAGCCAAGCTCCTGTGATTCCTTAAAGTTGGCGCCAAATCAGACAGCAAAGGAGAGGCAAAGGAGCCCCCAAGCCCAGCAGCAACCAAGCAGCCAGAGCAACAGAAGCTGCAGCTGAATTTACGGGTGCCTCCACTTTTCTAAGCCTAACACCTTGTTAAGAGTTTCCAGCGTGGCCACACATGCCAGGTCTGTGGCTGAGTGACAAACCAGAGCTGGAAGCAGGCCCGAGGGCCCATCTGGTTCCCCTGCCTTCAGGAAGTGTCTGTCTTCTGACTCGCAGGAAGGGGAAAGGCGGAAAGACCTCTGTCAGCCACCATCCCCGCCCCCCACCCCACCCCGACCAACTGCGGAGCCCATGCAGCCCAAGCAATTTCATTCCCTTCGCTTTTGCTGCTCTGTTCCCCATCCCCGTCCGGAAACAACTTCAGCTCCGCAAGCGGGGATACCCGAGTGGAGGAGGTTCTTCCTCTCCTCTCTCCATCTGTCGGAGCCCGCAAAGCAGAGAGGTTACGGCAATGCTCCCTCTGACATGCAGAACAACTGGAAAAGGCAAGAAACCAGAGCACTCTACCTCCTCTGGGGTCCATGTCCGAGGCTGCAGTGACACGACAGGAGGAAGGAAGCACACAGAGTCATTCCCTGGAGTCAGCGGGGCTCGGGCCGCGCTAACTCCGCTGCTTTCCGGATCTCTAAGCGCTCTCGTGTCAGGCGCTGGTTCCAGCTGCGCCCCCCTCGCCCCACCCCAGAAGAGAACCGGGGTAGCAGAGAGGGTTCCCACCGCACCAGAGTCCCTACCTTGCCCCTGCGGCTTCGTCCCCGAGTAGGCGGTAGATGTGGGGGCCAGATGGTGAGCCTGCTCCGCGTGGGGGTCCCCAGGCTACCGTGCCCCGCTTAGTGGAGTGGACCCCGGGGCACCCACGGATGCAGGTTTGCCCATGCCCCACTCAGCCTGTGTCCTCCGACCCACCCGGGTAAGCCTGATCGAGGAACGGATTTTTAGGGTTACAGGATGCGCAGGGAACTGAGCGGCCGCGGGAAACCGTCTGGTTCCAGACGGGGGCCGATTGTTCCCTGGACCTGGGGACTCCGCGGGATGCAAGAGTGGGGCTGGGGGCGCCCGCTCCAACCCTACAGCACAGGGCCAGGGAAGAAGCTTGGCGGCTTCGAAGCTGGTCGACAGCAGAGCCCGGAAGGCACCAGCCCCCTCCGCCGCGCGCGCACTCACCGCTCAGCAGGCGCCCAGGGGCGCCTCTCGGACCCGCCAGCAGCACGGTTAGTAGCACGGCCTGCAACGCCGCCTCAGGCTGCATGGCCCGTTTCGGGTGCGCCCTCCGACAGCCGGGCGCTAAGACTGTGCAGCGGCCGGACCCGCGGCGGCGTGCGCAACTGCAGCGGCATCTCCCGAGGACCGACGGACTGGGCGCCCGGAGGAGGCGGGGAGAACCGCAGAGTCCGGCGGGCGCCCCTCCGCCCCCTGGGACGTCACTGCGGAGAGGGCAGCCCCGCCGGCTGGCCCGCCCCCGACGTCCTCCTCCAGCACTGGGCGCCAGACTCTCGGCTGGCCGGAGGGGAGCGAGCCTGTGTAGACCGGCTCCCCGCCCCTCCCCGCCCTTCCCAGAGCGATCCAGCGCCAGTCTTCAGTGAAAACCCAAATCTTCCCTGAAATCGGATGGAGAGCGCTCTCTAACTACAAAACAGCACCACGTCACGCCTGTATTCCCCGGGCTGTAGCCAGGTTCACCCAGCTTTGCGGGCGTGGGCTAAAGGGAGAGGCTGGGCGTGCGGACCTACCTACGCTTCCAGTGCTCAGGGAAAGCAACGGTGGGCTCAAAGAACAGATGCTCAGGCAGGTGCCCACCGGCCAGGAAGACTATGGGACACAGCGTGGATAGCGTCAAGAGAAAGTGGCTGAGTCCGCGTTCCCCTGGCTGCCAGGAGAGCAGCTAACACTGGCTTTCCAGAAGCTAAAGCATGTGCAGAATGTCAGCAGGGAAATGATTAGTTTTGCAGGGCATGTGTTGGGGCTGGGATTGATGATCAGGGAGTTCAGCTTTGGACTTGTGGTAGAAGGGAGGCGACCTCCCCAACCCCAGGAAAGAATGACCCTGCTTTCCTAAACCAACCCAGCCTTCGGTGTGTGTGCTCCCTCTTCCAAACTCCCCAGCCATTGTGTGGGTTTCTTACGGTACACACGATGTATTCAAATCATGAAGCGAGTCTCCTGAAAACCAAGGGGGGGGGGGCGCTGGCGCCGTGCCACAGTAGGTTAATCCTCCGCCTGCAGTGCCGTGCCGGTTGGAGTCCTGGCTGCTTTACTTCCGATCCAGCTCACTGCTATGGCCTGGGAAAGCAGTAGAAGATGGCTCAAGTCCTTGGGCCCCTGCACCGAGTGGGAGACCAGGAAGACACTCCTAGTTCTTGGCTTCGGATCAGCGCAGCTCTGGTCATTGCGGCCATCTGGGGAGTGAACCAACGGATGGAAGACCCCTCTCCCTCTCTCTGCCTCTCCTCTCTCTGTGTAACTCTGACTTTCAAATAAATAAAATAAATCTTTAAAAAAATAAATACTTAAAAAAAAACACAAAACCCAGGGCACCAGGCGGGAACTGGTATGGTTTAAGGAAGCATTTGATATTTTACTTCAAATCCTGCTTTTCTTCATTTAGTGTCTGTATGGCCTTTAGCAAGTCCTTTTGCAACTCTATGGTTAGTGTAACTCTTGTTTAACAGTAGTTGCTTAAGAGTTTTCATGAGGGTTTGATAAGGCAAATATACATGTAAGTACATAGATGGACACTTACTGTTATGTGAAAAGGATTTATTTATTTATTTGTTTGTTTATTTATTTATTTATTTTGACGGGCAGAGTGGACAGTGAGAGAGAGAGAGAGAGAGACAGAGAGAAAGGTCTTCCTTTGCCATTGGTCCACCCTCCAATGGCCGCTGCGGCCGGCACACCACGCTGATCCGAAGCCAGGAGCCAGGTGCTCCTCCTGGTCTCCCATAGGGTGCAGGGCCCAAGCACTTGGGCCATCCTCCACTGCACTCCCTGGCCACAGCAGAGAGCTGGCCTGGAAGAGGGGCAACTGGGACAGAATCTGGCGCCCCGACCGGGACTGCGGGACTAGAACCTGGTGTGCCGGCGCCGCAAGGCGGAGGATTAGCCTAGTGAGCCGCGGCGCTGGCCAAAGGATTTATTTCTAATATTGCAGTTTAAAGAAGCTGTTGTTTTGGTCCAAATAATTAAATTTTATCCCAAGTTCTTTTAGTATCTTGGGTCCAGATCAACTTAGGGTATTCAGTCAACCAAGTGTGGTGTCTTGGGATACTGACCCCAGTTCTTCATAGCTCCCTTTACACTCTTTGCCAGTGACTTTGTACTTTTCCGTACTGAAGAGACAGACCATATGTCCCACCCCTTGTCTTTCTGTTTGACCATGTGACTGACTGACCAACAGAATGAACCACAAGTTTCTGAGCCTAGACCAGAAAAGACCTCACCTATTTTCTTTGTTCTTTTGCTTCTCTGCCATTCTCTGAGAGGAACATACCTCAGATATTCCACTGGCCCATGCATCGCCCCAAGAGGACAATACAGAGCAAAGGTGCCTCAGTCAGTGGACAGGGCAGCAGCAAGAACACAGCTGCCCTAGCTGCTGTAGCCTGAAGCAGAGCGGCTAGCCAAGCCTAGATCAGCCAGACCCTCAGCTGACCTGCAGATGCCTGGGCAAAATGAAAAATGATTTTAGAGCCCTTGGTAATGCAGTGTTTGCATCAGCCTGTAGAGCCCTTTCCCTCCCAAGGGCAAGGAAAGATTTCTCTGTGAGCATGGAACAGAACAAAGGGAAGCAGTTATACGACCTAGAGGTTTAGACTAGCTACTGTGTTGGTATTCACAATAGAGATCTGTCTCGCACATACATCAACCTGGCAGGATACCTTTTATTTTTGATGGTGCTGGGATGAGATTCTGAATTTATAATTCAAAAATTCCCTTTTCTAGGCTTGATTACCTTTCTTTGGTTCTGAACATTTTTCTTTGTGGTAGAAACTTGTAGTTGTCCCATAACATACATTCTATATTTTTAGTGATAGATTTTTGGATTTTTAACTAGGCAGATACCTCCTCCAATTCCCCCATCTAAAACTATTTCCAGCCTCCTTAGCAGCTTTGTATGTCCCTGTGGTTAAGTGCTGGCCAACAGGTCACCCACTCCTCTGCTAGCACTATAGACGAGAGCAGCATCTTGGGGAGGTCGTGTCCAGGAGTCTTTGGTGGAGGACCATATTGGAGTGAATGGTAGTCCAAAGTAGCACTGCAAACACTGGAGAAGAGTATATAACCCTAAGTAGGATTGCCATTTGGATAATGCAGAAGGGAAAAATCCTTACCCTTCCGTTTTCCTACATATACCAAAGGGAATGATCCTTGAAAGTGAAGTAGGTTGGTTGGGATTATGTTGGTGTAAAACACAGACATGCTTAGCTAGTTATTCACAGAATTAGAAGAAATTAATTTCTGACTTCAGACATGTTCCAGACACAGAATAAACCAAATTTTGAAAAATGCTTTTCTTTTTTTTAAAGAATTTTTCAGAATTGCTCTTTCATCTCTATATATTTTTTTTTTTTGGGACAGGCAGAATGGACAGTGAGAGAGAAAGACAGAGAGAAAGGTCTTCCTTTTCCATTGGTTCACCCCCCCCCCCCCCCCCCAATGGCTGCTGTGGCCGGCGCACTGCGCTGATCTGAAGCCAGGAGCCAGGTGCTTCCTCCTGGTCTCCCATGCAGGTGCAGGGCCCAAGCACTTGGGCCATCATCCACTGCACTCCTGGGCTACAGCAGAGAGCTGGACTGGAAGAGGAGCAACCGGGGCAGAATCCGGCGCCCCGACCAGGACTAGAACCTTGTGTGCCAGCGCTGCAGGTGGAGGATTAGCCTAGTGAGCCGTGGTGCCCGCCTTTCTTACTGTTTTTAACAATGCTGTACAAGGTGAGGCATGCAAAGCCTTTCTTGTTTATCTGATATTTATAATATAGACCAAGTATAGAAATTTCAAAATTGCCCTTCAAATAAAAACAAGATACGCAAGAGTTTGAAGATGTACAAAAAACAGAGATAAGTAGTCAATTACTTGGTAACATTCATAGATGTTTGCATATCTGACTTTTATTTTTTGTCTATTTTAACTTGACAGTGATCTCAGTAATTCTGATGCAGGAGTAGGTTGTTTCCAAGGTGAAGATATAAGCAAGCCAGCCGTTACTATGTGTCAAATTAGTCCAAGGCTTTGACTGCTTCTTGGTCCTCCTTGTCTGACTCTGAAGTCACTGTCCTGTTGGTAGTAACATGAATCAGTTCCAATATACAGAATTCAGTTATGAACACAATGCAGCATGAAAATAACTTTTGAAAATTTCCTCAACAAAAATTTACTGTTGTGGATTATGAATATACATTAGGTTTTGCAACCAACTATATGCTTATCTGTAGAAATGGTCACTAAACTGTAAAGTTTGATCTGAAGGGCAGGGGAGAAGACCTCCTACCCTAAAGGTATTTTGCTAACCCAAGCATCAAATCCATGAGATTTCATCATTGGTAATTGATTCACCAGGATTACCCATTGTGGATTCTCTTTGGATTTCTTCTGAAAGGCCTCAGGACCACTAAAGCCTTACTGTGAACCCATTTTCCAATTCTTAGGAAGATCTTGTGATGGAGGGGTAGTAAGGCTGCATCTCTTTGTAGGGAAGGTTTGGGCAGAGAGGACAGGATGGAGGGAGAAGAGGCCAAAAGCAAAGTGTTTTACACAATTGCATCTAAAATGTTTACAAAATTTAAAAATGTTTATAAATTTATAGTATAAAAGCATCACTTTCTAAATTAGCTAATAGTGAGTTATATGACAGTTTTGAACTAAAGTGTTTGTTACACATATTTTTGGAATTTTAACATGTTGGCAGTGTGTCAGGCAATTTGGTGACCCAATTCCTCACAGAGCTTATACTATACCTACAGACAAGACAAACATATGTGAAAAATTATATAACTTAAGAGATAGTAAGAATTTAAATAATTAGAAAATATGGCCAGAGCAATGCATGATCATTGCCAAAAAACTTGTACAGAAAATAATTATCAGAAGTTCAGAAGAGGATGATGTCACAGTGAAATGGAATAAAATTCAAGGCTTCAGGATGGAGGAGAGAGTTTATGTACAAAAGGAATTCAGCAATGAAGCATTTAAGTTATTATGAGAATTACCCATTAAGCTGTGAAATGCTATTTTACTCTTAGATAAATCATTATTTCTTGATTGGGTTAGTTTTGCTCCACCCTTGCATGCTAAGTCTGGCTAAAAAAGCAGGAAATTAAGAAAGGTATTAATTCATCACTTAGAGTCTAAAACCATTGCCAGCATGGACTGTTTTAATAACTCTCAACGTGATACTAGTGTAATCAGAGCTGGGGATCTCTTAGACCTAAAACTAAGTGTGGGTAGGGGAAGGCATAGCCAGCAAGGCATGGTGGTCTCTGACTCTAGTACCCCAGGATGAGAAGGGAGGGAAGAGAATGTGTACAGAGATTCAAGGCTGATTTGCTCTCCAGGTTATGCCAATTTATGCTTGCAAGTTCTACTGATATACAAGTGGATACACAGGCTTTAATATACATGAGGAGGTTTATTTGACTTAAGAAATCCTAATAGGGGCTGGTGTTGTGGTGTATCCTGTTAAGCCACCTCCTGTAACACCAACATTCTGGCTGTTCCACTTCCAATCCAGCTTCCTGCTAATGCACCTAGGAAGACAGCAAGACAGCAAAAGATGGTCCAAGCACTTGGGCTCCTGCCACCCACATGGGAGACTTGCATGGAGTTCCTGGCTTCTGGCTTCAGCCTGGCTCAGCCTTGACTGTTGTGGACATTTGGGAAATAAACCAGCGAATGGAAGATAAATAATAAATAAGTACATGATTTTTTAAAGAAATCCCTAATAGAGTGAAGTGGGTCTTTAGAAGGTTAAAAGGTAAGAGGCAAAACGAGTAAGAACAAAGAAGTACTTCTCTACATGGCATCTAGAAGAGATGAGACTGTTGTTTTCAAGATTTATTTTATTTATTTAGAAGATAGAGTTACAGAGAGAAAGAGAGAGATGGAGAGGTCTTCCATCCTCTGGTTCACTCCCAAATGTCCACAACAGCCAAGGCTGAGCCAGGCTGAAGCCAGGAGCCAGGAACTCCATCCAGGTCTGCCACCTGTGTGGCAGGAGCCCAAGCACTTGGACTATCTTTTACTGTTTTGCTGTCTTCCCAGTTACATTAGCAGGGAGCTGGATTACAAGTAGAGCAGCTGGGACTTGAACCAGTGCCCATATAGGATGCCAGTGTTGTAGGCAGCAGCTCAACCCATTATGTCACAATGCCAGCCCTGAGATGAGACTATTTTTGATAGAATTAAACTTACTTTGGTTTTTGTACCTTGACCTTCGGTTTATAAGGCAGGGAAATCAGTTCTTTCTAAAAAACAAAACAAAACCAAAATCAAAATGAAAAAATTTTAATTCAGCACTGACATTTACTGAGATAAAAAAAAAAACTGAGATAAAGACATCAGAGTTTATAAAAACTAGCTTCTTAAATCTGGCAACTAAGGGATCAAAATTTTCCAGATTAGAGAATTTGGGTTTCATTCAGAAATGTGTTTGTGTAGCCATAAGTGTACAGGGAGCTAGTATTATATTTGTAAGGTTTGTTTCTCTTCATTTAGCATTTATTTTTATATGATCTAGGCAAGATAATTGTAAAATGAATATTAGCACTGTAGTAGCCTACATTAATAACCTATGGCTTTATAGTATGTAAACAATAAAGCCTACTGACAATAAAACCTCATTTCTTATGTTGGAAGAGCTGCAAACTCTAGATGTAGTTTCAGGTTAGCAAAACTGCTGAACTATCTGTTATCTGTACTCTACTCCCTTCCAGTATGTAGAAGGCTATGGATTTAAGGGATCCATCTTTAAAACTTCTGAGAATTTGCCACAGTTCATCTCTCCAGGTACTTATTTGAAAACCACTATATCCGTCTCACTGTGATCCTTTCTTCTCTTTGTTTTCGTAAGAGTTGGAGAATCTCATCTCTCTTCTTAGCCTGTATGAAGGGAAAAAAATTGTGGGTGATTTTTTGACTCAATAAAAAAGGTTTGTGTCTATTGGAAGGTGGAATTCTTCATATTTTCTTGTATTCACAGGACTAAATATCTTTTCATGATTTATACTTTTTTCATTTATAACACTCAGAAGATGCATTGGGTTTTGGGCCTAAATGTGATTTGTCCCTATCTGATAATAACTTTTTTTAAGATTTTATTTATTTATTTGAAAGGTAGAGTTATAGGCGGAGAAAGGGAGAGACAGAAAGATCTTCTATCTGCTGGTTCACTCCCCAAATGGCTGCAACAGCCAGAACTGAGCCAATCTGAAGCCAGGAGCTAGGAGCTGCTTCTGGGTCTCCCATGTGGGTGCAGGAGCCCAAGCACTTGGGCCATCTTCCATTGCTTTCCCAGGCCATTAGCAGTGAACTGGATTGGAAGTGGAGCAGATGGGACATGAACCGGCACACACATGGGCCGAGGCCTAGCCTACCACACCACAGCACTGGCCCCTTAACTTTTATTAAGACCTTATCACACAAACTGCACTTAGCCCTTTATAGACATTGTGTCACGATTTTGATATTACTATTATTCCATTTTACAAATGAGGAAACTGAAGCTTAAATACTTAACAAAAGCAGAACTAAATTTGATTCTAGCTCCATTTGACAATATAGTCAAACTACTGACCAGCACTAAACTGCCACTAAACTATGGCAAGATACAGGATCAGTAAGCTCACAGCATGCCGCTCCCTAAATCCAAGTTGAAGAGGGCTTTCCTTAGTTTCTTGCCTGTGGGAGAAAACCCTTATTCTGTTATCTCTTCTTTCCCTGTTTTAGATATTGAGACGTGTCATTCTCAGCTAATTATTCTTAAATGCAAAAATGTAATCTTACATTAAAATGTGAGTTAGTGCAGACATAAAGATTTATTAAAATACAGATATAAAATAGGTAAATATAGATATAATTCTGTTTTTCCATAGAATCCCACTAACTTCAGTTCAGGAGATAGCCACACAGAAAATATCATTTTTTTTAACTTTTATTTAATGAATATAGATTTCCAAAGTACAGCTTATGGACTACATTGGCTTCCCCCTCCCCCCCAATGACTTCCCTCCCACCCGCAACCCTCCCCTTTCCCGCTCTCTCTCCCCTTCCATTCATATCAAGATTCAGAAAATATCATATTTAAAGTGGGAAAAAAATGAAAACTTGAGAATCTAACAAAACTTGTAGCTTCAAATGACCAAGTCTAATGAAAGAAATTTGGTTTAGATCAAGGCCAGAAGAATTAAGAATTGAGAATAAGGGGCTGGTGTTGTGGTGCATCAGGGTAAGCTGATGCTGGTGCTGTTGGTATCCCATATCAGAGTGTTGATGTGAATTCTAGCTGTTCTGCTTCTGATCCAGCTCCCCAGTCGTGTGCCTAGGAAAGTGGTAGATGATGGATGGCCCAAGTACTTGGGTTCCTGCCACCCACACAGGAGACCTGGATGGAGTTCCAGGCTCCTGGCTTTGGCCTGATCCAGATAGGGCTGTTGTGGCCATTTGAGGAGTGAACCAGTGGATAGAAGATCTCTCTCTCTCTCTCTCTCTCTCTCTGCCTCTCCCTTCATACAGCCTTTCAAATAATAAATAAATAAACTTAAAAAAAGAAAGAAGTGAGAATAAGAGATTTGCCATAGCCAGGTAATCTAAATTTACTGAGTACTGTCCTGTTTTCCTAGAGCTGCTCTAACAAAGTCCCACAAACTGGATGGCTTAAGACAACCCTCTTGGGAGACAGCACTGTAGCACAGTGGGTTAAGCTGCTGCTTGCAGTGCTGCCATCCCATATGGACACCAGTTCAAGTCCCAACTGCTCCACTTCTGATCCAGTTCCTTGCTGATGTGCCTGGGAAAGCAGCGGATGGCCTAAATACTTGGAACCCTGCATGCACGCTGGACACCTGTATTGAGTTCCAGCCTCCTGGCTGCATTCTGGCCCAACCATGGCCATCTGGGGAGTGAGATATCTCTCTCTCTTTCTCTGTCCCTGTCTCTGTAACTCTGCCTTTCAAGTAAATAAAAAAATGTTTAAAGACCATAATATGTATTATCCCTCAGTATTGGAAGTCAGAAGCCTGAAATGCAGGTGTTGGTAGGGCCATGTTCTGTCTGAAGTTGATAGGGTGTCTTTGCCTCCGTCTAGTTTCTGGTAGTTTGCTGGAAACCTGTGACATCCCTTCACTAGAATAACTCCAGTCGCTGCCCTTGTTGTCACATGGCATGCTTCCTGGCTGTCTCTGTCTTCACGTGGCCATCTCCTTATGAGACTCCAGACATGGGGATTAGGGGCCCTCCCTACTTCATGACCTCATCCTAACTAACTGCATCAGCAAAGACCCTATTCCCAAATAAAGGTCTGATTTTAAGGTACTGAGGGTTAGGACTTCAATATATTTTGGGGGGGGGATTTATTTTAACCCATAATAAGCATCTAATATAATATATATAATTATACATTATATAATATATTATATATAATATTATATTATATATTTTATATATATATTCATATATAATAAATGTATATATTTATTTTAACCCATAATAAGCATCTAATATAATATATATTATATTATATATTATATATTGCACATATAATATATAATATAATTCCAGCATGCAAGTTGTCCATGGATTTTATGGGAAAAAAAGCCAAGTAAATTATTTCAAATGCTCTCTGGTGGGGTTAGTATAGGGCGCAATGGAAGAACGGAAGGTCAGGGACTCTTAATTCATTCTAGGGGCTGGGGGAGTCAGAGAAGATGTTCCAGAGGAGCTGATGTCCTGCGTGGACCTGAAAGTGGGAGTCACCAGATCATGATGGAGACAGGACAGGGGAGAAAGCTTTGGCAGCCAAGGAAATCAGGTGTGCAGGCTGCTGTACTGCTAAGTAGTTCCTCAGGGCGATTCTCCAGTCCTGATGCCTCAGGTGCAAAAGAAGCTGGACATTTCAGGCACGATCCACCAAGACACACGGGAGGACGCTCATGGTGGGCAGCTGTGGTCAGCAGCCGGGGTGGGCACACTGCATGCTTGGTTATGCATCATTCTCTTCAAGACCCAGGGATCTTACCTTTTCTCAGCCTACAGTTTTCATTTTATTTATTTATTGACAGGATGTCGGCCTTTTACTTGAATTTTAGCCATAATATGTCACAGTTCTTAAAAGAAAAAAAATTCTGGGTACTTGGGAAACCCAAGCTAAATTTTACAGTATCCGTCAATTTATTATAGAGGGAATAAAATAATATCTGTTGATGAAAGCATGGGCTATCTTCATTGTAGGTTTTCAATGTTAGTGTTTTTTCCATTACATATGTTCTCAATTGGATAAATTCCTCCCTTACTGTGATTACATGGCCTTTATACCTTTATTTTGATACTGATCTCATTCTCCCTGCTTTGTTTCTTAGTTGTCACCAGGTCTCTTTCAGAATCTTACTCATCTTTTTATCTTTCCTTGGAGCTCCTTGGTGACTTCCATGAGTTTCTGCTGGATTGAATTGATTGAGTATGATGTTATGAAAGGAATCTTTGTACTCTCTAATGCACAATTATTAGCCTAAGCAACAACAAAAACTTCTAGAAAGTGAAATTCAACAATGGATAAGTTTAGTTCTTAAAATCCCCAATGAATAAAGCTATATAATTTTTCTGTGTAACTACTGACAAGCCATAGGTAAATGCTTCTAATATAAGATTTAAATAGTTAGCTACAAGATGCAAAAAACAGAATAAAAACATATTCATTTTTTCCCTTTAACTTCAGGTCCTCTTTAAAAATTGCAATGGATTTTAGTACATAATTCATTTTATATTATAATATGATGTACTAGAAACAAAGATTTCAAATGTGATTTGATTTCTGCTTCCTGGACATGCTTCCTGAGAATGAATAACAAAACTATTGTAAACATCTGAGTCATCTGAACAAAAACGTTGTGGACTATTCTAAGAAATCTCTGCCAGGAAAGCTAAATACAGTTCACTGGTTAGACAAAATCTGCACAACTTATGCTATTAGTGGAGAATAATAATTTACGTGTTTGTTTCATAACAACAAAAGAATCCTTGTTTTTAATCATAGTGTTTTGGTGAGATTCATTAATGGAATTTTATGTTTGCAAGACATTTTTATCATTTAATTCCTAAAATAACATTAAAACAGGATCAGAATTATTTATAATACTGGATATTTACTTGTATTTATACATTTTATTTATACTATTCATGAGAGGGCTTAAAAACTCATGGAAAATTCACATTGTCATTTAATTTATTTTTTGTGAACTTTTTGAGGCCCTCT